CATATAGATAGATAAGGAAAATAGGCATAGAAAACAAACATTCAAACCACACTACTTTTTCCTTTGTGACAAATTGCAATTCCTTAAAAACTCCTTGTGCTCAGCTATGTTAAAAGCCTCCATTAGCTTTCTAAAGCCTTTTACTAGAGGTAATCCCTCAGCTAGCCAAAGCTGACAGGATACCTGCCTTTCACTTTAGATAACTAACATCCTGCCCCTACTTGCAACACAGACATTGGCTGCTGTTGAAAACATCCTTTCAAGTTCACCAGAAGAACCTGAGCAGGCCAAGTAATCCTTGGCCATTGCTGCAACCACAAGATATTGGTTGCAATTTGCCTGATAAGCACATGTCATCAGTAATCCACATGCTGTTGATAATCATACAAGAGAGATGGGGAGGAATGGACCTGTCTACCAGTGAAGGGCAGAGTGTTATGAAGTGAACTCGTGACACTTACAGATCACATGTCACAGATTGAGACACCTGTGTCACCTGTATTGAGTGACATACTACCCCTTGACAAATGACACGTTATGAAGGGCGTTGAGCCGGTCTTTCGCAGCAGAGCATTCCAGGTGACCTGGAACACTTTTTCCCAACCTCCAAACACCAAGTTCAAAGTCAAAAAAACATCATCACTCTTTTTTTTGGCTCATCAACTACTCATAGCCAGTTTTTTGTCAAATTTTATTGAGTTGAAAGTTTTCAATTTTCAAACCAAGGTCACCAGGTCAGATTGAGTGCTCTGAGACGCCCTCAGAGCGCTCTGAGACGCCCTCAGAGCGCTCTGAGATGTCCTCAGAGCACTCAATCTGACCTGGTCAACTCATCGTCGGTGGATCAAAGGCATCAAACCTCCTCATCCTTTTGCCTATACCATCGATACCTCTCTTCATTCCTCTTGCTTTCATTCATCTGCCTATCAAAAGCCATCCAGATGCACACAACTCGCATTATCAAGTCGGTAATACTCAACATACACCTTACGTCTTGACTCGACTCTCAAATATCTATCATTCAAAGTCAACCGGTCTCGTCGATTTATCAAGTCACACTGGTACGATCTCACAAGCACGCTCATACACACAAGCAAAACGTTTCAGATGAATAAGGATGAATATCATACCCTCCTGCCAACAAACAACAAACCGGATACAAAATCAAATGACCAAAATTGAAACCAAATATCCCCCATCGATCAAATGAACCCCCTTCGATCAAATGAACCCCCTTCGATCAAATGAAATCAATCACTCCACATCCAGCTCATTGTCACCATCCTCGTCAGGCTCTCCATCTCCATTGCCCTCCTCTTCATTCATCACATCATCATCATCATCATTTACTTGGAACTCAATCAACCTTTGCTCAAGCTCTTCAGTTTCATCCAGAGGCGCTGCCTCGAATATCTGAGCCTGCGAGTAAGCCTTCCAGGCGGTTTTACTTTTTTACACCAACACCTCCCACCGAGTTAAAACTGATGTCTCGTCTATGGGTTCCAGGGCGCTATACAATTTGGTCCGGTTGATCAGGCTCTGCATACCTCCACTCCAGAAGATCCAAAGCCGCGAGTACTTTTGAATCAAACGTGAATAGAGAGCTTGTAGGATTTCTTTGCTCTTCTTCAGTTGCTCTGTGATAGTTCCTTTGGTCATTCCAACGACTTCGATGATCCATTGATTGGCTACAGTAGCAGGATTATCATCTGGATTTACATATAGGAAATCGACTCAATTGTCTGGTAATCAAATTCATAACTTGTAAGGACTCACCTGGTATCTTAAGTGCGGTTTCTAGTACTGACAATTTCTCTTCCATTGCTACTGCCCACCTCACCGACTGTCTCGATTCACGTGCAAGTCTTTGAAGCTCGTCACTTGCGTGTGTTTTGTCTTGGAGAGCCTCAATACCTTCTTGGGTCTTTGGATCGACTGCCCAGGGTTCTCCGGGATGGGTCAGCTGACCAATGTCCCAGAAAGCATCAGAAACTGAAAGACGTCGAATATCATCGAAGTCAGGGCAGGGAATCGGGTTTGCAGTTGGAAAATCATTGTTGAACTGGTCAACATTCCGTTTGTAGGTTTCGTATTTCTTTTTTAATGCTGATTGTTTGTCTCTTAAGTTTTTGTTTGTCTTTTGTTGAGCCCGTGTTCCTTTAATGTGTAGTATAGTCAGTATCTTATAATTTCAAATGTAATTATCGTACTCACCCACTCTCTCATCACTCCTCTTTTGCATTTCAAAGACTTCTACCTTTGCCTCATACAATTTAGCCTTAGCCACTCGAATCCTGATCAACTTTCGGCCTTTGGCGGCTTTATGTTTGATATTTATCAGATGGATGTAATGAAATGAATATAACAATAAGAAATAAATAAGAAATGATACCTACTTGATGAATCTGGCATGTGACGATAGTGATCACCTCCCAACTCCTCTACTAAATCATCAATATCCGCTTGAAGCAGCTCTAAAGTCCTAGGTAGATGTCCTATCTTAGATTTATCTGCTACAGAACGGTCTCTTCTAGGCTTGGCCAGCAGCTTCTTTAACTCGATGCTGTCAAACACATATAATATCAACTTGAGGAACTAGTATTGAGTGATGTTTTGGTTGGAAGGATCAATCAACAAAGCTCAACTCGGTCGCCTGATGTTTCTCCTCTAGTGCCACCAGAACATCAACCTTCTCCTTCAAAACGCGAGAATTCTCCTTGACCATTACCTGGAGTTGGCAATCTCGCTGACTATTCCACTGTGTCATCAGGTACTCGTCAGTATACATTGGATCAGATTGTAATATGTTCAAACGTTGACAGCTCTTATTATACAGGCTGTGGCTGCTTGATAGCCGCTGAAGTAACCATCGCACTACAATTTCCATATGATGTTATGTACTGTTCACATCTAAAACAGGAAAGCACCATATAATGAAATGAGAAACGCACCTGAAACCTTTCGTACAGCCTCATTAATATGGCAGGTTTTCAGTTCCAATGCACACAGACGATGGAACGCTGTTGAGTGCCTCAAAGCACCTACCAATGGGGCAAGTTTGGACCAGATTCGTTCCAGACCCTCCCCATCGGAAAGGAGAGTATTCGAAGGGCAGTGGACTTGGCGAGCATATGTGAGCGCGAGCAAAGGTGAGCTATCCCGGACTGCATCGCAGTCGGTACATCCCCGTACATCACAATTTCAATTACCTCTTTGGTCTGCCTTAATCCATGAACTCCCATTCGGGATAATGAAACCCATCAAGT